GGAAAACGGATGGCCTTGTGTTCAATATCGGATTACGTCTGCAGAAAATTCATTTGTTGTTGACAGACGCACGCACGGAGGACCATTTGCAATTTTAAAATGTCAAATATTTTATACGCCAATACTACAAGAAGTTCCGTAACTCATGACTCCTATCTTTCGTAAACTACAACAGATACAGGAAACAAAATAACACCGATGGATTGAGCAAGTTTACAGCTTATAAAACACTTACACCAAACAACGTACTGCATCAGTCATTCAACATAATGATTCTAACCACAAACTCAATTTTAAAAAAAATGCCGTTTTAATTAAAAGAAAGGAGGTCTACAGAAGGTGCATTGTCATCTAAGTCATCTACGATAAGTTTACCTTTAGCTCCAGACAAAATTTCACCTTTCTTCAGAAATCTTCTGTTCTCACAATGTGAGATATTCATAAACAACAGCGATAAAAGAAAAAGTGTTGGAAAACAGAATGAGATTGGCTGAGATGTGCGTCTAGACACGTCGAACGCCAGAAGTTTGAAAATTTATTGTTTCTAGATATTCAGGATAATTATAAACGACGATATATATATATATATATATATATATATATATATATATATATATATATATATATATATATATATATATATATATATATATATATATATATATATATATATATATATATATATATATATATATATATATATATATATATATATTCCAGAGTATTACATTTACCTAAAATTGCTGTTATATTGGATTTTATATATTCTTCCCATTTATACTAATTTGAAACTTAATATAGACTTGATACAATTGAGTATCGTATAAAACTCCTTATTCTTAGTATATATATTGTTGAAGCTTAAATAAGCATGGAATAATACAACACAAAATGTACGTTAACAAAATGTATTGTAACAAAGAATAGGTACACAATATTTACAGTTAGTTTGGTATATTCTTGGGAAGACTGTTCCTGCATAATGGGTTGACTAAATCGCAGTCGGGCAGAGTCTCTGGATTCAATTTCTTAATCTCTACTATCTTCCCCGTCTTCCGGTACCAACCCATATTTATATGGTCGGTAGTCCGCTTATGTAAATTAGGTGTATCATACACAACATATATATATATGTGTGTGTGTGTGTGTGTGTGCGTGTGTGTGCGTGTGTCTGTGTGTCTGTATATAATAAAGAAATTAATGGTCAAAGTTGAATTAGACGAGGAAACAGTAGTATTAAAAAAGTGATCAATACACATAATGAAAAATTTAACATGTAGATCTTTTAAGTACAGAAAATTAGGAAATTAGCCGATTCTGCTAGTTTGGTTTCAACCTTTCAGTATCTTCAGGCATTTTCCATCATTTTCTAACGCTTTATTTTGTAAGAACAAAAAATTTTTGAACGCTATATTTAAAAAAACTAAATAAATAAATGAATAAGCGCAAGACGTGGGTTGTGGCAGACGGAGAGGAGAAGGAGGAGGGGGAGGGTAAAATCTACTGTATTGGAAATGTATCAGTGGGAGATTAAATGAAATATACATACGTTCTTTTTATCCCACTTCATATGAACTCAAAAGAAA